TTTTCGATTCTTTATTAGTATCTAACTTAATTAATTAAGCCTTTGGGCAAGTATGTTTTCTACAAAAAAAAACATAACATTAGAAGAAGTAGTTAGCAAATCGTTAATCAGCCTTATCATGAGTTTCATTTTCCCCGAACCGGTTCACTTTTCACTCTTGGTTACCATGGTTTTACTATGGGCGGATGACGAATTTTCGGGTGAATTTTTTTTTCAGGCGAAACTCAGGATAAGGCAGAATATCTTGGAATATAGTGAACCGATTCGTATAATATTGAATTTGAAAGACGAACTATGTAGTTATTGGTTGGATTCATTAAATTTAGTCTAGGTGGATTTTTTTTTGCTTTTGATTGACTCTTTTCAGGAAATACCCATATGCTTAGAGTTATGTACATATGTATGTATGTACATAGTATGGTTGGAAAGGCCCTAACTAAATTTGCTTTCGAAATTCAGCTTTGTACAGAATTTGGCATCTTACTCATTAAAGACCTAATAGAATTTTAAAACAACTACTGGCAAATGAAGTTTAATTTTTTAAAATTCTGCAAAGCAAAAAAATGAGATGGGGCGTTTCTATATTATGGCAACGGATAGTGTGTACTACATAGAAGTATATGAATAAGAAATAAATACATGTAATTATATAATATGATTTTATGACATTTTAATTTACACATATGAGTACTACATATCTAAATTATAAAACGTTTACATTTGTTAAAACTGCATCACACCACACACACAGATACACACACCTTTTGATAACACTTTAAACACGTGCACACAAATTATTTTTATTATTTAAATGCAACAAGTCCTACTATCGCCAGCCTAAGCCAAAGAAAGCAAAGATAAAGAAAATTAAATCTGCATACTTAAAAGAAAACCTCATGTAGTTTTGTATGTATGTACCTGTGTAGAGTAGAATGGAAAGTGGAAAAGCGCTTTCTCGTGCACTCTGCCTAAATGTATGCAATTAAATTGCGGCGAATTCACGCATTGCAGCTCCAGCTGACAGTGGTGGTCAATTAATGATTATCTCAATTTTTTTTTACCAGACGTTGCGTTTTATTTGCTGCCGGTTGCAGTTCGCCACTACTTTTATCAACACGCTCATCAGAAGTATTCGTTCAAAGTTCTTATTTTATATTGAATTGTGTGCGTTATCCTATTCTCGACCCAAGTATGAATTGCTTTTTGTTTGTTGGCAATTGAGTTGAGCAAGTGTGTTTTTTTGCTTTCTTTTCTCCGCTTTTGGCTCCATCTGTGTATAGCTTTTTGCAAATTTAGCTACATGTTTTCCTGCTTAAGGGTTGCTTTTTTTTGTAGAAAAAATTTCCCAAAACGATTCAGCCTTAGCGCGTAAATGTCCCAGCGTAAAGAACACTAACAAAAATTCCTTAGGCTGGCTATTAACTAACCATTTAATACATTGGGTTATTTGATTTTCTTTTAACAAAGACCTATTATTTTTGTTTAAATTGCACACTTTATAAATTTATTAGCATTAAGTTTTTTTTTGAAATTTGCTTTATGACTTTTTCAGTATGTTGTGGTGCCAACTCGCCGTTCAACTGCCGAAGCCTTCCAGATTCTAATCTCACATGCGTTGGGTGACGCCGGAAGTCCTTACTTTGTTGGCCTGGTAAGTATCCGAATATGATATACATATACATATATGTATTTCATTAAATTTACATTTCATTTTCATTTCACAGTGAGTAGTTAAACTACATTTGGCAGTTAGCAACCGATTTTCAGTACAGAAGTACAAGGTTAATCGATATATGGGGTTAAATTTAAAAATGTTAAAAGAGTTTTCGTCAATTTCTTTGCCTAAAAGATTTACAATTGTTTTGCCACTCAACCTAACTCGCTTTCCACCATTCCGAACCCTCACTACCCGAGACCCAGAATAATATTAATTTCATGGTGGAGTTTTTTAAAACTTAAAAAAAAAATCATCAAAATTTTCGTAAGAATTATAGAAGTCTTTTGATATTAATTATGTGTGAGAAATTTTTTTTAAGTCATCGATAACTATTATTTTAAGACTTATATAATAGAAGTCTTTTCATAATAATTATCGGCGAGATAAATATTTTTAAGTCTTCAATGACTTTTATTTTGAGACTTATATTATAAAAGTCTTGTCATAATATTTATGAGTGCGAAAAAATTTTGTATATAGTCCCGAACGGGTCCCAAACCAAGCCTTTTATAATATAAGTCCTTGAATAATAATTATAGATGACTCGAAAAATATCTATCTTAATATAGGGATTATTGATTGACTTTCATTCTTTTTTTCTTATAATAGTTACGTCTCTGCTCACTACATGTGTACTTCTCAACACACCCCAATTTATTCACTTAACCTCCTTCCATGTATTCATAAAAATAAAATAAAAATTGTGTATGTACTTACGTGTGTATGTTACTTCATTTTTTGTTTTGCAGCTTTCTGAAGGCATCAAACGCCATATGCGCACCACTACCGCTCAGACATCCGAATATAGTCTCGGTTTTCCTAGTTTGTCCTTGACAGCAGAAACTAGAAGTGACAATATCACCGACAGCTTAACATCGTTAAACTCTACAGCCGCAGTAGCAACAACGAATCTCTTAGCTCAGGCTACCGAAAATGTCGCTGAATTGGTTACGAATGCTACAGACTTTTTACAACAAAATGTTTCTGATCTTGTTGCGGAAGCAACGAATATGTTGCACGCGAATAGTAACCATTTAAATGGCACACAACAGTTGTTGCCTCAAGCGGGAATGCTAGACTTGGACTTACAAGTAAGTTGCAGCGCAAGTATAATGATTGTAGCTGTAACTAATCATTAGTTTTTGTTTCCTCAGGATACTGATATCACAAAATTCAAAGCATTACAGTATTCGTTATTTTCAACGAGTTTCATTGAAGTTTTGGGTGCAGTTTTCTTTTTTCTGACTGCCATCTACATATTAAAAGATAAACGACGAGCAGCGCGAGCAACACTTGGTAAGTTTCAATTGATCAATGAAATGATTAAGCTTTAACTACGCAAATACCTTTTTTTAACGGCTGATAAATTAGTTGCGCAAAGTTACAGTCTACTGTCTTTTCTTACCTATTTATTGCGTATTTGTATCGACTTTGGTTTAGTTATTTTATTAATTTATTGAATAATATTTTTGTTTGTTTATTTGTTTTGTAGTTAACGAATTAAACGATGTTAGCAACACAGCTTGTAAAGATAAAGAATTCGAACCCGAAGATTGTGAATATATCGTTCTGTGTACCGATATTAAACATAATCAGTGCGTATAACAAAAACAAACAACTAAAATTTAAACGAATGGAAATTTGATCCAACCTGCCTTTTTAGAGACTCCATAGTTGGTGGGTTTTTAAGCGAATTTTCATTGATACAAAAATGTATGTTGTTATATTCCGCCCTTCCTATTCTTAACTAAATTGTTTACAACAATTTTCAGTAAAACACTCACTTTGTCGCTTTTTTGCTTTATGTACTCCATCCAATGCCCCAATCGCTGCTTTGTTAGTAAATTATTTTGTCAGATTGGAACTCCACGACAGGAATGTTCAAGTTTTCAGCGCTTTTCAAGTTTCCAGCGCTTTACTCAGATAATCAAAAAAAAAAAAAACACCTAAAATACCTGTTTTGGAGTTCTTCTCTAAGATTATCCTCTAACATTTATTATGAAGATTAATTTCCTCTGTTTTTTTTTTATTCCTTTTGGGGTTTCAACTGTGGCTGACTTCCAAAACATACCAATACAATGTTTGGATACCGTTCTACTGCGGCATTTAAACTGTTTGTATTTGCAAAGTTGTCAAACATTGTAAAGAAATACATTGCACATTTTGAATATTAAATATATAACAATGATCATCTTTCGGAATTTTCCATTTTTAAAACATAAATGATAGCCAACAACAAGAGAAGCACCAACTTTTTTTGGTGCACTGATTACTCCAGCGATGCATTTCGGTAACATTTCGGATGCGTTTCGGAAAAGTATACATTGTCAACATTTTGTAGGTCGACGTTATGGAACATTATACTTTGTACGGATGCAAAGCAACTGACGTTTTGGAAGTCAGCCTGTGTTACAATAATTCGTACATATGTATGCATGGTATAGACATGGAAATCTCGTGCTGAAAACATCTAAGCTTTTGTTGCATTATAACATCGTTGTGCTGTGCTTTTATTTATAAGAGATTTCCTTTGTGTTGAATTAATAAATTGTTAATTTTTCTATATGTATTTTACTCAGCAAAAATTAATGGCTGGCCTTTCCTTCTATTGCAGGCAATCCACCAACTACTCAAGAGTGAAGTGCACTTTCAATCAATTATACAAACGAATAATGTATGTATAAGCCACTTACCGAACCAGCCAGTCAACCCACAAGCAATCGATATAGTAATACATACATACATAAAAGCACATCCCTACCCCTGCCGGGATGGATGTATTGCACGAAAGGCAAACATATGACTGAAATATTAGTTTTTACCAATTAATATTTAGAAATAGTAATGATTATCATAGAATCATGTGTGCCTCAAGAAAGTGGGTGTGTTCCTATTAGACGAGTGTATATGTATGTATGGATAAATCATGCAAACGCCAAGCAGACATGCCTTCATACATATGTACATATTTAAATATACATTTGTACATAATAATAAACATTGATCAATCATTCTCATTTGTAATCCTTTAATCGCTAAGATATTTACTACTGCGTATTTATTTACATATATGTATGTATAATTATTTTATTATTGTCAAAACGCAACAATGGTTTATGTGAGTTCTTACACTCACGCAGTAGGTACATGACTAAAACTAGATACACAGGAGTAGTTGTAAATGAAAGCAGCGAGCGGGCGAATATGTAAAATCTATGCCTGCAATGGCATAAATAAAGACGCATGAAGTGCATAAATTGTGATCAGAGCAGATCACTTGTAAATTTCAAGTGCTAAAGCTATCAAAAAAGAGATTTGCATGAACGATAAGGAGGAAGGCATTACCTAGCTTGTACAATGTACATAAATATATTTTGCTAAGTAACTTGTTCTTCTTGGCAATATAGTTAAATATTTTAAATTTTTTACTCACTAAGTACTCTCTATAATTAATTTCATAAATCTACATTCATAAAAACGCTCATTATCCTCTGCTATGTACGTGCTGATTTTAGTAAATGAATGGAAATGTTAAAAATTTTGCTATTTTAGTTATGAAGTGATCCAATGGCATACATACATAAGTGATTTTGATTGACATTTGATTAGTAAGAATAGGTGTTGTATGCACACATATCGTCGCCTGGGTAAAAGATTGTCGTATGTTAATTTCGGCAGGTTGTGGGAAATCGCGCTTGAAGTTTGGAATGCAATTTCTCAAAAACGCGAAGATAGATTTTCTTCAAAGTGTCTGAAAATGTTACTAGGTCACAAAATTCATAAAAAGTTTAGCTTTTAATGTTTATTGTTGATTAGTTTTGAGTTTATGAAGGATTTTCTTTAGTAAAATTTTATCGTAAGCGTCATTTGTATGAAATACGACAAAATGTGATCAAAATTTCTACCAAATTAACGACACTTTTTACTCAATGTCTCGGAAACTAAAGGAGATATTCAAAAATGGAGAACGCCATTTTTAAGATATTGCTTAGTTTAATATCACTGCGTCACTAACTAAATTTTGACTAAATTATCGAAAAAATTGTAGTCAATATCTCGAAAACTAGAGGAGATATCTAAAAACTGATAACACCAGTCGAAAGGCCTTATTTCAAAATATATAACTGTATCTAGAACTAAAAATCATCAAAATGGTGCTTGCGACAATCTTTTACCCAGACGACGATATGTACAAAATGCACACTTTTATACATAGTTAGAATTATAATTTTTAGTTAACATCTAGTTTAACATTAAAATGTGAGAAGTGAAATAAGAGGTGGATTTGTATGCTGCTAATTGCTAACCAATTTATAGATCTTCCAATTCTATATTCAAAACTATAGTTGAAGTGATTGTATTTTCAAGCTCAATAAATAAGCATATCGTCACCTAAGGGTGAAAAAGTGCCAAGTCCATTTTTTTTTAAATTGTTCACCTGTTTTCAGCCTTAGGTAACGATATAGAGAAACAAACTATTTATGTAACATATTGTATATTTAAATGAATTGCTTAGAACAAACGTATAATTCTACCCATATAAGCATACCCCTTCCCTTATGAATCTGTTAGTTTTAGAAGTTTGGCATTGAAGCGGAATTCATGAAATAAGACTGTATTAGGATTTGTTATATTTTTTTAAACAAATTGAATTAAATATATACATACGTACATTGTAAGTACATATGTACTTATAAAATTATTTAAGTATAGCATAATTATGGGGTTTACTGAATGCTAATAAAAAATAAAAATTATTAAAATCTTAAATTCCCATGCTATACACTTATTGAGTAGAAATCTGAAGAGTAAGTATTTTATAATGAAAAGTAAGAAGAAGGTCAAGATATATTAATTATTTTTATCCTTTATATTTTTTATGTTAAAGAACATTCATATTTAGTTTACCTGACATCCTTGCGTATAAGGAAAGTTAAGATTCAAATCCATCTTTGAGCCTGAAAGCTACCAAAAAATTCTGAAGAGTCCTGAAAAGTTCCAGAAAAGTAAAAAAAAAGCATCCGGAGAAATTTACAAATATACCGGAAAAAGCAAACTACAGAATACTGCAAAAAGGTAAAACAAAAAAATATAAAGTCCTGAAAACCCGTATACGGACCCCAAATAATTCTGTAAAAAAAATGTAAACAAGTAATTTTCCCATAATCCATAATAGTAATTCCCATATAAAAATTTAAGATTATCGTCAATTTCTTCAAGATCCAATGATCGGATCTAAACCATGGGATCACCTTTGAGGTAACACCTTTCCTTTATAAAAATAATTATATCAAATTAGGAAACATTTGGTTTTATTATCAATGCCTAAGCAAAAATTACGATTATGGATAGCAACGCAACCTCAGTTTGGTTGCCGATGGGCAACACAACTTACATAAATGAAAATGTATATTCAGTCCAATGCCTAATACTCCCGGGGAGTTTATTCTCCGGGAAAGTGTTTCTCCCGAGAAAGAAATGCTCCAATAATTACATCCCAGGGGAAAATCGAACTTCGAAAGAGCTACTTGACACTTTTTTGACAGCGAACTACGCCATTTAAAATGAAAAATCTGTAATACCACTTCAGCCACTGGCAATTCACCGAAGTTCGGTTTCAATCCGTAATCGACTCATTATTTTCTGCTCAAAAACATATATCAGTTGTTACATTCGCCTGCTTTTTTATACAAAGCTAATCTGCAAAATTTGTTCACGAGTACGGCTCAAAAATTCTATAAGAAAATAAGAGAGCGGAGACGAAGATGATCTTGTAACATATGTAAGTCAAGAATACCCTTGAGATGGCTCCGTGAATTATGGCCGTATATTAAGACCGCAATCAACAAAAGAAATTAGGCCCCGCGGGTATAATTAATTTTAAAAAGTGAAAGGCACCTAAAACTCCAAACATTAGAAAGAGCACAGTCCGAACTTTGAGAAATGTTTCCCTTCCCCTCTCTGACCGCTGTACAGACCCCCTGGGACCCATTTTAAAATGGGGTAAAACCAAGCCACATGGTATAAACGCCATCCACATGGTAAAAACGCCATCCACAGTATTTTTGCGCAGGAAACCCGTCTACGCTGACCACTGTATTTTTGAGCAGAACACCTTCCGCGCGGAAGTCTTTTATTAAAAAACGACCTATCTACATCAGGGCCGAACTTCGCAAAGGGAGTCAATTGGCGAAGCTTTCGAAGCATCGGACACAATCGGGAGCGAAAAAGCGTTATATAGCAGCTAGGCGCGATTACACTCCATCTACGCCAGTTTTCAATACCAATTTACCTCAAACTAATTAGATCCAGTTATGGTAGTGTGTGTCGTCCAAGTCTTACAGACAAAATTTGTCTTAAGTTTTTCATTGATTAAATTTTTCTATAGCCCAGAATAAAAATTCAGACGCATTTATATTTTATTAACATTTACTTTTTTCCCATCCTCCCCAGCGCCATGCTTCTTCACCCTCTCCATTAATAAATCAGTTGTGAAGCTGGTTGGACGTTCAATTGGTATTAGCAGGGCTCGGTGCCAAGTAACTGATGATAGTACGCCAATTGCACGGGACACACCGAACAGCACTGTATAGTAGGCAGTTTCCTTCATGCCATAGTACTGCAACAAGACACCGGAATGTGCGTCCACATTTGGCCAAGGATTTTTCACTTTTCCCAGCGCTTTAAGTATGGGTGGCACTACTTCGAAAATGGTTTTTAGCAGCTGATAGGTTTCATATTCGGGCAAATGTCTTTCGGCAAATTTACGTTGCGCCATATAACGTGGATCAGTAACACGCAAGACACCATGGCCATAGCCAGGAATAACTTGACCACACTTCAAGGTTTTATTTACATATTCTTTGACTTTTTCAGCTGGTGGATTCTCGCTACCCAATTCCTTTTGCATTTTTTTTATCCACACAACCACCTCTTGATTGGCCAAACCATGCAAGGGACCAGCTAAACCATTTAAACCAGCACCAAAGGAAAGAAATGGATCACTGAGAGCCGATGCCACCAGATGAGTGGTATGCGAAGAAACATTTCCCGCATCCTGATCGCTATGGATAGAGAGGTACAAACGTAAAAGTTCACTAAAGCGAGGATCATCGTAGCCCAACAAGCGGGCAAAATTAGCGGACCAATCTAAATTCTTGTCAATTTCATTGCAGCCTTTGCCGCCACGAAAGCTTCTCCTGTAAATATATGCCGCTATATTGGGCAACTTGGCTAACAATGTCATTGTATCCTCCAATGCAGACTTCCAAAATTCTGTCTTTTTAACGCCCTTATTGTAGGCTTTCAAGAATTCACTATCCTTACTTAATGCCGTTACGGCAATTGAGAACTGCGGCATTGGATGCATATCTTTTGGCAAGCTATCCAACATTTTCTTAACATAGTCAGGGATTGCAGCTTTATCATTCCATTCGTCTGTTATCATTTTTGCCTGTTCCGGTGTGGGTATTTCTCCAGTTATTAACAGCCAAAAAATTCCTTCCGGCAAGGGTTCATCCCCACATTCAGCCTTCGGCAGCTTCTTCTGACAATCGGATATGGTATAACCGCGAAAGCGTACACCTACGTTAGGATCTAGTCTTGAGGTTTCGCAAAGCAGCGCAGGTATGCCACGCATACCACCATAAATTTGCGCAATCGTCACTTCGCCCAATTTCTTCTTTCCATTTTCTTTGACAAACTTTTTTATACGTTCCTGCTCAGACTTAATTTTATCTTCAACGGCAGTGCGTAAGTCCTTAACTCCTTTGCCATCTATTCCTGCATCACATTTGCTCGAGTTCCACCCCATAAACGCTTTGAGAATATTACGATCGAGGCACTTAAAAGATTGTCGGGACATACACTGTGGTCGGGACAAGCGATTTAACGAAGCCATTATAATCAAAGATGGGTTAGATATAAGGAAAATTATGAAAAAATATACACTGCCGGATAAAGTATTGGCACAGCGAACTTTGCACAATATATGCACCAATTTCTATTCTCATATTTGTCTGCTAATTTTTTATAAAAATATGGTTCATTTTATAACAAAAAACGCAAAAATATAACTTATAAACTTTGTGAAAAATTCGCGAAAATTCAATAAATGTCATGGAAATTTTAAAATTTTTTATCAGATTTTTGCGAATTTTCTTGAGTATGCAGTTAAGTAGCCCATTAAATTCTAGTAAAAAATGCGAGTTTAGAGCTAGTCAAAAATCGCGTTGATTTTTGAGAATTTTTTTGTTGAAGGTGTTTTGCATTTTTTCCATATAAAGTATTTTCAAACAAATTTTTTGTATGGAAGAGGCTGCGTGGAAAAAAAAATGCCAAAAATCAACGGTAATTCGCAGCTACTTAGAACTTCTACTTTATTACAGTAAAATTGATTGGGCTACAAATCTGCATACTCAAAAAATTGTTGCATATATTGTAAAAAAGCAGCAGTGCCAATAATTTTTGTCGGCAGTGTACATATTTAAATTGTTAATTTTGTTTTTGAATTTCATAAAGTTTTCAGCCAAGCTTACTGTGCTAATGCGTATCATCTATATAACAAGTGAAGTAGACTTGCGGTTTCGGCTGAAGGAATCTCAGGGAAAAGAACTTTAGTTGTGTAGGTTTGAGTCGGTGGCTTCAATCACCTAATACCTGCTCTCTGAGAGCACTCTTCAACAAACCGACATTTCCCGGTCATTAAAAAGAAACCGCCGCCGAGTCGGATTTCAAAGAAAAAAATTCCGCCTACAGGGCCACGCTGCGATCGAGCGCAACGCCAGCAATGTGGGACCATTATAGGGAGCTGAAGAGGAAGCGAGACGTAATTGCCGCAATAAGAAAGCAGAGATCGAAATACGTGAGTGTGAAGAGCTTGAAATGCTGGCCGACAGTAAATACCGAAAACATGCTTAAATATGAAGGGAACACTTTTCCACCTTACTGAATGGTAGCAACGATGAACGTTGTGGAGATGGACCCGAGCCCCCAGTCGATGATGACGGAGTCGATGTGCCACCGTCTGACTATGATGAGGTACAAATATCGATAAAGCGGCTGAAAAACAACAAAGTTCTGGAGCTGGCGGCCTGCCAGCTGAGCTATTCAAGTACGGCGGCGAGGAGTTGTTAAGGTGCATGCATCAACTCTTACGCAGAATATGCTAGGCGCTGCCCAATACACAAGAAGTAAAGTCCTCTCTCGTTGTACAAAAGTCATCCTTTATAAGTCACTCCTGCCTGTCTGCCTGTACTGGTGTATGGCAATGAAAACATCGTACCTGTGCGCGTTGTCGTTGGCGAATACCGCAGACAATTAAACGATAAGCTTTTTGCGCTTTGCAAAGATATAACTGCAGCGACTTAAAATTCTGTGGCTACTCTGGCTAGGCCATGTCGTTCGAATGGACTCCAACGTTCCAGCTCTGAAAGTAATCAACGCGGGTCGCGATGTTGGTAACAGAGGAAGAGGAAGGCCTCCTCTGCATTGGAAAGACCAGGTGGAGGACTTGGCTTCACTTGTCATTTCCAATTGGCGTCACTTGGCACAGAAGAGAAACACCTGGCGTGCTGTTTTGGACTCGGCCAAAATCGCTTACTGCCATCCCTGAATTGGTGTGTCAAGCGTCAAGGAAGTGTCAAAAATCCTAATGCACATAAAATTTGTATAACGCGGCCAGTGCGCAACACTCCCGCTTGATGCAACAAAAAAAACTCTTCCGGGATTTTCTAAACGGCAAAGCCACAGCGCTATAAGCTGTAGGGACTCTGACTTACAACCATGCAGAAAAAATTGTTGTGTTAATAAAATCTTCCTGGTCCTGCCCGCTCACTAAGTTATTCACCTCCCTTTCCTATTCTAATATAAAAAGAATCCTAAATACCTCCGACCTTAAAATCAGATATAAGAAGGTTTAATGAAAGGCTTGTTCGAGTTGCAATCACAACCGCAGTGTTGCACGAATTATTAAAGTTTCTAGCAACGTTTTATCAGTTGGGGAGTTGCAACAGTTTTGCAAATCATCAGCGCTGCAGTATTGGCGCTTTTATTACGTGCCCCGTACAGGCCCGAAATTCGCTAATTACCCCATATTGCAAATACGCCATGCAATAGTTTCAAAACTAAAAATCTCGAACAAATGTATCTCTATCTAAGAATTTTATAAATAACCATTGAATGAATTTAACCGCCTGTTTTGCATTTATCTACTTATTTCAGTTGTGAATTGTATACGCAGATTTTTTTTATATGTCATGTAGGTTAAAGATAAAATTGCGGCATATTTCACAAGGCACATGGCGGCATTTTAAGTAAATCCGGCCCTGAATGGGTAGCTACCCTAACATATTTTAAGCGGACATTCACGCAATATAAATTTGCGACAGAAAATGCATTAGAAGAGGCACAATATTGAAATATATCTTTTTGATTGCTTCAAATTCCGAAACCTACCTATCAAAACAAGGAGCTACCGCTGGATTTCATGATCCGGAACCCTTCTGTGGGCTCATCAAAGCACACATAGAGGGGACCATCTATAACTAGGTGTCCCACAGTGTCCTAGATCACCCATCCACTCCCTTTAAAATGGAGGGAAACGCTTTTTACTGAAAAAACTGGACCTACCAAATCGGGGATGCGCTCTCTTTTGGTGGTATAACCGACTTCCGAAACCAGACCGGAAGTGCATTATTTTATCTGGAAGACTATTCCAGAAAAAAGTTTCCTTCATAAGTTATGCCTTTGTATCCGCAGGTACCAAACCTGTAGTACAAACATGTATGTCCTATTTAAAAAATCCTAACCTATTTCCGGTCTAAAACGGAATGGGACCAAAATATAGCATCCCCAACTTCATATCGTTTCGTTTTCCAATAAAACATTTTCACTCATTTAAGAAGGCCAGGACGAGTCAAAGTCGAAGGTCATTTTAAGGTTGAAAAAGGCACTGCCGAGAAAAAAGCTTCAAACATAAGAAACTTGTATAGAATTTTTAAAATTCTCTCAGAGGGGCAAAGAACAGGTTCTACATGTATATTTCTAGTTAGTCCGACTTTCTTCAACATACGTTTCAATTTCTTTGTCGTAGTAACTGTCGGGTTTCCTAGATCGACTCTGGTGGAGATTGCATTCCCACAGTTTTTTTCAGCCGAGTACCTTTCAAATCATTGAAGTTAACTAAATTAATTAAGTAAACAAGTATCTACTTCCATTTTTCATTTAAAAATCGCTCAAGTTTGTAAATTTTTAAACTTAACGAACTTGTTTATTCAAATTATCGTCGACAAAAAATCCAACCATGTGTCACAATCATATGTTTTTTCCTATTTTTTCGAGCTTGAATTTGAAACTTCTCTCCAAGAACTAGTCATTCAACATGTAATTTAATTAAATAAAACAAGTGAAATTTAGTTGAAACAGTTTAGCCGTTTTTAGCCGGTTTTTTGCCGATTTAGCCGGTTGGTCCAAAAAGTTCTGGCAACACTGCATTTATGTTTGAGGTCGTACAGACACCCCTTTATAGAGGTCGAAACTTTTTATTATGGGTTTTTGTACATATCCTCTCTTTTAGTATTCACCAAAAATTTGGTTCCTCTAAATTTCCTCTTTTGCTATCGCGTTTAATGAGTTAAATTTCACTTAATTTCACTAGGGCCTAACTAATTGTAAAACATTGGAAACCAGCGATGTATCGATATTTTTCGGCTGTTGTATTTTACCCTCGATGTTTATTTTGCGATGTATCGAAACATCGATGTATTGATGTTACTTCTAAAAAATTGCATCCCTACTTTCGGTCAGTTAAACTGGAAGTAGGTAATACCACCAAAAGAGCATCTCCGATTTGGTAGGTCATATTTTTGCGTTTTTCAGTAAAAAGCATTTCCCTCCATTTTAAAGCGAGTGGATGGGTGGTCTAGGACGCACTGTATATGTACATCATTTTCACATTAGGAATCACCGAGCCGAAAGTCTCCGCTGCTCTGGTAACACCATCTTATATGAGTTCGCATTGGTTGGACTGATGGACTAGTGTTGTGAAATGACACCAGGAATTCACCATACATCAAATTTTGGAAAAGACCAGCGAGGGGAAGACCCACACTGATCCCATTGATAGCGGGAAAAGAAGCTTCCTTTACGACGTGAAGTCTGAATTTGGTATCACTGCGAAAATAATACGGCTGTGTTAAATGACGTGGTGGCTGACTCAGCTTCGTAAAAATTCAAACGGGGCTTCAGACGACAGGGCGACTACCTTTCGTACAACTTCTAATAAAAACTTAAGTAATAAAAAATACGAATATAAAAATTTCTTAGCAATACCACTACCAGAAACCTAAGAGCCCCAATATGTATAACTATGCACTTTTGGTTGTGTTTTTATTTGAATCACTTTCCTCTGTTTAATTTATTAAAAATTATGTTTTTATTCACAATAGTTATAATTACATTATTGTATAGCATATTTATTTAAATATAGTATATTGTAAATTTATTTTTAATTGGATAGATCTATATATTAAAAACAAAAAGGTGAAAATACAGTAAACCAGGGACCGTTATAGTCGCTGTTTTTACAATAAAAATCATAATTTATTTTTTTATTATTATTTTTATTTGAAGAATACTTGTAGACTTTCGAATTGTTGGACTCTAATAAACTCAAGATGATCAGATGATCGATGAGAATGCGAGTATGTACATATGTATAGTAATTTAATCGAAAATAATTAAAAAAAAATCAAACAGGGGATTTTATTCGAAACTAAATCGGCCTAATATCATAAAAAATAACGTTTCAAAATAACGGCCGAGTATAATTAAACAAATTAAAAATCGTAAAATAACTTAAAAGTAAAAATCTGCGAAAAAGATATACATATGTATGTACATATCGAGCCTTACCGCCAAAAAAATGTATTCGAAATTTTTTAAAACTACTTAGGAGCATTTCTGCATCAAAAATAAAACTTTGAAAAAAATTTCGCTTACGTTTTTTTTTTGGCGGTTAGGGCACGATATATAGCAAACCAAAATAAATTGAAGATTATTTTTGTTTAAACCATAATCACTCTGTGTTATAAAACCGACAAATCGGTGATTAATAATTACTCGGAAAATTTTAGCAGTTTAAGAGAATACACACAAAGGAATTTTATTGATGCTAAAAACAAAATGTCAACAGATTTAACCACGAAATATTTAATGTTCAATCGATTGCAATCGATCATTTCGTAAATGTTGGTTTTAAAAGGCATTTATATGCAATAAAATGTAAGCATACATAAACATCGTTACCTCAATTCACAAACGCCCTAGCCAACAATTTTTTCGAATGTGCGTTTTTCACAGATTTTTGTAGGATGTGATAAAAATTTTGAAGTGTTAGTACCAAAAACAACGGAGTTACATGCCACTTTTTAAAAAGCCCTACCTGTTTTTGATGCTCATTTTATACTTTTTTTTGCTTCTCCTGTAAAATAAAAAATCTGTTGGTTAGGGCCTTTGTGAATTAAAGTGATGTATGTATGTGTGCATGTATGGTAAGGGTGTTTTTTTTAGAGGTGCAGAATTTTAAATTGAAATAAAATAATGAGATTACATACTTAATTTCAATCTGAAAATTTAGAAGGTCTTTATTGGAAAGATTCGTTTGTGCCATTAGTGTTTGAATTTAATTTCCGGTATGTGGCTGCCGACGCTAACTCAGATGTGGCCCATTTTGGAAGTCCAAATTTCGACCACTTATTTTGCTTAAATGATAATAATCAAGAGGCACCGATTCGCTTGATCTCGATGGGAAATCGACTGGCCTATGTCGAAAATTAACACGTTCATCCAATGCTTCCTACAATATGTTGATTGTTTGAAGCGCTGTGTGACATGTGGCGTCACACAACGTTCGAAAATGTAAGGAAACTGACGAAAATTCTTAAAATGAAAGTTATATGTAATTTTAAATTTCAGACATTTCGTCGCCTGGATAAAAGATTGTCGTAAACGCCATTTCGACGATTTTTAGTTATAGATGCATTTATATATTTTTTAAAATATGATTTTTCGATTGGTGTTATCTCTTTTGCATAGCTAACCGAGATTTTTCAAATGGCATTATCCATTTTTGGATAACTCCTGTAGTTTCCGAGATATTGAGTAAAACGTATCGTTAATTTAGTGAACATTTTTATCACATTTTGTCGTATATCATGTAAAATGGCTGCAAAATTGTTGACAAATTTAGCAAACGATAAAATATAAACTCAAAATAATTGAGAATAAACAATGAAAAATAATAATTTTTGAATTTCGTGAACTAGTAACATTCTTCAGGACGTTGAAGGAAATTTATCGTCTAGTTTTTGAGAAATTACATTCCAAACTTCAATCGCAATTTCCGAAAACCTTTTGAAAGTAAAATACGACAATCTTTTATCCAGGCGACGATAAAGTAAGCTTTGAGTAGTAACTACATATGCCAGAGTAGCCTTAAAACTTTACAGTTGTTTTACAGTACAAGATAAAAGCTGTTCATTCTCGCGCTCATCATATGTCGTGGTAATGGAAAATAATAAAAAAAAATGTGTAACTTATTCATTATATTGAGTTTTAAGAAGAAAGATTTAACGACTTTTTGAAAAAAAAATCCGCCATATTTGGATCCGTCATTTTGAATTTTAAGAAATTGCATCGATAGCCGTAATCAGCGACTTACAAATCATACATATGTATAAGTCCCAAAAATTTTACGACTCTAACGACAGCTTCATATTTTGGTCAGATTTTTTTGATTTTTCGACCACTGTGCTCGGTCCTGTTGAAAAGACATGTCTTTAGTTAACATTCCATTCAACTGGCGTACGAAATAAGCGCGAATCATTGCGCCGCCGGTCCATAAAGTATGCCAAACAATGCGTCTCCTAATGCGGAGACTTTATTTCTTGACATGTTGATGGAGCTGAAAATTTGCCTCATCACAGAATATCGCGATATAACAGCGAGTTGACATTTTCAAAATCTTCTAATATGATTTTCGAAATAAATTTGCAAGCACTGATCTTGCATTTGTCTGTTCATGAAAAAATTACGAATCTAGCTGGACGTAACTGATAGTGTTGCCAGATTTGACCATTTAATCGTTACCGGATATCCAAACCTCTAAAAAAACACCGCTTATGCTTAAGGGACGACGTTGCTTAACACAATTTACAGAAATTATAATAAAAACAAAAATACTTTGTAAACAAATGTGTGTATGTACGTATGCATTTATATCATTTACTATGTGGGCATTTAGCAAAAGAACGTATTTAACCCTCTCCTGCTGATGTGACTAAAATTTCATTATTTTACTGACGTGTAGTCTCTCAGACAACAATTTTCCAGATCAAATTATATGTACATGTTAGAAATTTATTAATAAACTATTTTTCGATTTGAACTAAAAATTATATCAGTATTTGGAATACTTATTAATGCAATACTTACTATATAAACAAACTAAATGACGTAATCAATCCTATTGTAGCTCGGGAAAAATGTCGAATTTTCGATGTCTGTCACACTACCGCATCAGTAGCAGAGGGTTAAATAAACTTCGTGGAATTGAGTCAACACTTTCCATCTGTCAGTCGATAAGTAGCTTGTTTTAATTGCTTACAACTGCAAATTATTGGGATTCTTAATTTAACGAAAATTTAACTAAAACCGAAAACACGGTATTTTTAATTTAAAACCAAATTTTTAGCCAAATCTTTAATCTTACTCAACATTTGTACACACACAATAAAAATAAATTTCCAATAAACCAAGCATATTTTATTTTCTGAATAATGCTACAATTTCGAAAATAACATAAATTTTTAACTATTTTGTAATAGATTTAAAAAATTTACAATATATAGTTTGCTGTATTATATAAGCCAACTATCATTTCCCTAATTACATTACTAAATTATGTTTCTAAATTAAAAACGAAAAAAACAAAACAAAAAAAAAGTTTATTAATGCACTTATTTTTCAGCTCTGGCACGCCAAGAAAAATCGATAAGTTTAATTCAAAATATGTAGTGTATACAAAAATAGTTTAATATGTATAGATAAACATGTAACGCAAAACAACTGAGACAAACAAGTTTGCAAGGGAACAATTAAATAGTTGACAATCACTAAGTGAATTAGCATAAAGTGTTTGGAATTTGAAACGTAATTAGGAATTTAAATATATATACATACCAATGTATAATTACTTATTTCGAAATCTTTCCGCGCTATGTAGGTATATACATATGTATGCATGTATGTATGTATATGCAGTCGCATTTGTGTGCTACAACGCAGCATCAACATACATACATACATATGTATTTATGCACCAATTTATTAATAATTCAGCTGGTATCATTGCTGAAACGCATTACAATTCATTATTTTTAATATTTCTATATTCTTGCTTTGTTATGACTTTCTTTATTTATGTAATTTTGCATTATTCAGCTGTCAAATGTGCCTGAAAACCAGCCTATACTCAATTAGGTCTATGCATGCGACTTCTATTCTACCAGCTATGTATCTCACTTGATATTAATTGAACTTTTGAATTTTATTTTGAAAATCGCAACAAAAATAGGTATTAATAATCATGATTTTATGCAAAGCAGTGCAGCTGCTAACTTAATGTTTTTGTTTTACACAGACACAATATTGCATTTATGTATTTATATATTTCTCGGTTTTATCTAATGTTCAATGGCGGCAAGTCTGGGTGTTAAACACGTTTTTATTTTATAAATACGTAATTTAAAAACCTCATTCTACATTAGAGGTGTTCCATTCAGCTGAGTGGCTACAAATGTGAAGATACTAAACATTGTTTTTTTTTTTATTTGCAGCCTTTAATTGCCCAAAGCACGCTATTCAATCAAATCCGATGCTACAGATTTATTCGCTTAATATCTAAATATTTTTCTTACTACTTCGCTTTCTTAGTTAAACACACACATCCATGCGCATGCAAGTAAGTGTACATGTATTTATATATTATTTCATTTGCATTTTAATAACTATTATTTATTTTTATTTTCGTATGCGTATTTCCGTACTTATACATATATGTAAATTCCTTTTCGTATATCAATCAACCACATAGTCCATGTGGTGCTTAATTGTTTAGCGAATTTATTGTTTTTCCATAAGTAAGTGATTACATTCATACGCTGTCACATATAAGATAATATATAGTATTTTTTTTTTGTAGGTTACCCTTTTTATTTGTGGCTTACTTCCTTTAAATTATTGTATATTGTAATCAATTAATACGCTTAATTTCCACTTACAAAATACTATTTAACCTGAGTCCGTACATGCTGCAAAAATTCATAATACGATAAACTAGATTCACTCCGATCATCAACCAACTTGTCTATAAACTGAGGTTTGGCTGTACTTGTATCCCTGTAGAAATAACAGAAAAGTAAAATAGGATTATTTGTGGTATTGAAAATTGTAAATAAGAATATGTATGAAATAAAAACTTTTTAATAGGCATCATAGACACGTTGCGTCTGACTACACACAGTTGAGTCACTCAGTGTCATGCCAGAGTCATGTCGGTGTAACTAACACATATTTATTTTCACTAACACGTCCAAACCGACTCACGAGTCAGACGCACGGTGTATGCCACCTATAAAAGGCACTTGAGGACATGAGGACCTTAGTAGCGTACCCGGTAAAAGCGGTAAATATCTACTCTGACAGTCAAGCGACAATCAGACACTTCTGAGCTCGCTTACGGTGCGCTTAAACCTATCTGACCTCTCTTCCGGTCGCGTCTGAGTATTTTCTTGTTGGAAATATTTATACAGGGAACTGCGTGGCAGATGAGCTGTGGATGGAGAGGATGTGGGAGTACTTTTTACGACATATGGACGACTATTGGGCGGGTTAGTTCAATTAACGCTAGGCAGAAACTATGACATATGTTACTGGAAATTTTTTGTTTTTTGGGAGTGGGTGGGCCGAAGTTGATCTGAGATATGCTTATAACGACGCAATTCAATACTGGTGGTTGTATTGTGTGACTCAGAGTGCATTACAGTTAAAACAATGTGTGTGTTTTTTTTTTAACTCTTAGTTAGTCAGACAAATTGCCCAAGACTGAAGCATTTTTCAACCAATTTTGAAACCGTAAAAAAATTGCGAAAACATAAAAACTCTCCTTAGTCTTACAGCCAATTTCCTGAAAGCAATTTTTTGAGTGAAAAATTATTTTAATCCTTTGAATTTTATATGGAAATTGACAGAAAATAAAAAAATAATTTTCTATTTAAATTGCTGGTGAGACCGGCTGTTAGTCTTCGTCTTGATATTCGTATTCATCTCCGTCATTACTTTCGTGAACGTATTCGTTTTCGCTTGCTGGGTTAGAGCTGCTTCGGCTGTTGTTGATGCCCGATACAAATTTGTGGCTTTGCGTGACATTTATAACTTTGCCAGCAAAGCGCCAGACGCAAAAGGTATGCCCAAAAGGAACGCCAAGAAAACAATTTTGTACTGCTTTTTTACTCGTCCAAATTGCTTTTACATATATATTTTTCTTTAAAAATATCAGCAATGTAATTACGTTTTATGGTGAGATTTTTTAATGTAAATTTTATTAGAAATGTTAAGATATACAAGCTATTAAGAATTTATATTAATTTACCTCATTAATCTTTCTCTTTTTAGCCGACTTCAAAAAAGGAGGAGGTTATAAATTCATCGGAATATATTTTGTATGTATGTGCCACATTAACCGACTTCGATAATTCTTTTTCTGGGGAGGTTCCATACTAATTTGGTTTAGATTCGATTATTGGATCATGAAGAAATTAACGGTATTTCTAAATTTTTTCTATGAGAATTGAAGTCGACTGTGTTTTTTGTTTAAAAATTACTTGTTATTGTAACAATTGAGTTGTACCAAGCCCTACAACGGAATTTATATTGCGCCCCCTTAGCCCCTGTCCATGACAGTACATACATACATATCTATTTAAATTTATGTAGATATTATATGTATACGTATGTATGAAGCGCAAAAGAGAAATCGAAAATTTATCGAGAATGCAAATATTGTTCATTGATAAAAAATATGAGAATAAAAAAGCAGTTCAAGTTGGATATTCAAAAACGAAAACGAACGAATTTTTCACTTCGTATGTACAAATATATATACTATGTATGTACATATGTGTGTAGCGGTGCTGTGAAATCAAGTTGGAAAAATTAAGAATCTCATACAGCCGGTAATTCTCCAAAGAATCGATCATTGCTACCAGATCCAATTGAGTTTCAGGGATTACTCTATAAACAGGGTACGTTTTGCATTATTTGTATTTTATTTTTAAGTTTTTTTTCAGTTTTTACTTGAGCTATTGTATCTTTATGAGCCGCAATTGACGTTCAATTAAGCGATTTTGCTTGTGCTCTTACTACACACACTTAAGAGTCTTGTAGGGAAAATTTCCGGCTTAAATGACTTTGGGCTCCGTTTGTATGGAAGTCGTTCATGACTTTTTCATATAAATGGTAATTTCGTCGTTGATGTCATCTGCATGACTTTGCCATGCAGTGATCATTGATGACATTCAAGCGACAATGTCCTGCAATGAACTTTTTATAAGTGACCGCTGCAAGACATTGTCTGTTATAAGTCTTTGATAGGAGTACATCTGCATGACATTGTCACCAGTGTCATTGTCAGCTATATGTCGTTTAGGATCGCACAGCAAGTGCGACGATGTCACTAAATCCTCATTAGTGACGATGTCACCGGTGACCATTTTCGCTACTGGGAAATAAAAACTAATTTGTTTGTATGTATGTATGTATGTACTTACATACATTATAAATGACTACAACGCGTTGAAAGAAATGAGTACACATTGAGGCAAGCAGAATTTGAATTAGATTCACAAGATTTATTATAAAAATCAATTAAGGCACGCATACATACATACATACATAATAGGGATGTTAATCCCGGAATCCCGGACTTTTTCAAGTCCCGAAAATTCCGGGACTATTTTCCAAGAATCCCGAGATTTTCGGGATTTGTAATTTGCAATGGTGGCAATAATAGAATGCCTTATGTTGACCAATTTTCGCTACATTTCTTTTGTTTATTTAATATTTAATATTTTTTTATATATGTATGTCTAGCTAATTATACATACACATCATAACACCGTGCGACAGGCAATATTACACACAAAAAAATTAATATATTCGCGAAGCCATGGGCCAAATATATGTATGCAAAAAAATTGCGTTTTTAGCTTTTCTCTCTGACGTCAGGACTTTTTAAAAGGACTTTGAAAATTGAATAGTTAATATGAGTAATTCACAATATGGTTTAAAAAGTTTAGTGCAGTGTACTTAGGAAAACAGCATGAGTATCAAATTAAACAGAAAATTCTGTAGAGAAAGAACATATAAATTTTTTGGTGCATAAGGCATTGAAAATGTCCTTAAAAATTTTATCCTTCAATATCCTTGAAATTTTGCAATATTTATTTTGAAAACATTACATGTTAAGGACTAATACAAACTCGACAACGTCTTCGAATATAACTTTATTAGCTTAAAAAAATTAAAGTGATTAAAAGGGCATTTCAATACCTGTTCGTCCTTGTGAACCCAAAAAATTTTAATTTTTTTAAATCCTACAGAATTTTCTCTTTCATTTGGTACCCATTTTTGTTCTACGTTGCACTGAATTTTTTAAATAATTTTTTAGAATTTATCATATCTTTGAAATTATAAAGTTCTAATAAAAAAAATTCTAAAACTTAAAACGCAGGTTTACTATATTTGGTCCATAGTGTTGTGAGTATATTGATTTCTTGGTGTGTTTTGAATTTTTCAACCTGTTTCCCTGTTTCAATATTTTTACTCAGAATTTTTAGAAAATTTTAGGAACGCAATTTTATAAGTATAGCCCATTAAATTACAAGAGGATAAAGTGCAAGTTTCAAGTGACTAAAAGTAACGTTGATTTTTTATAATTTTTTTGCTGGCGGTTGTCACTCATTTTCATCCATACAAAGTATATGCGACAATTTGTTTATATGGAAGAAAATGCCCAGCATTGTTTAGTAAATTCCCAGAAATCAACGGTATTTTCTAACTGCATGAAACTTCATTTGATTCCACTTTAATTAAATGGGCTATAAAACTACGTAGCTAAAACTTTTCTAAAAATGCTGAGTGAAAAGTTTAACATTTTGACAAATTGTTTTGCATTTTTATAATTTTAATACAAATTTTGAAATGCGTATTTAAATGCAGTTAATTATATATAAAATGAGGTAGACTTCTTTCAGCCACACAATACCTATGTTGACTTAAGTTTTTTGCATCGAGCTTTTTTCGACAAGCCTTAAGTTACTTTATCAGATATGTACACACTAAAGTATTGTTAAATGCGTATAAATTTAATTACTGTCTTTAGTTTACTAATAAAGTATTTTTCAACTTAAATAATAAAGTAGACTTCAAACCCATTTATTTATAATTTATTATATGGTAGGACAGCTTCTCACACTATATTGATGCAATTTTTTCATGTTAAGTTGTTGGAAAATAATGAATATTTAAATCCCAGGACTAATCCCGGGATCCCGGAATTGTATGAACGATGTCCTGAAAATCCCGGGATCGCAAAAATCGATAAAATTAACATCCCTAATACATACATGTGTGTGTTGCGTTGCATATGGTCCTTAGCGGCCAAAGGTATGGCACTCGCTCAAGGACAGCGTATTTCAGGGACAAATAGGAACTCTGTGGATAATTATTTGCCTGGGTTGAAAGACCCTGCTGCAAAACAAACTGTTTCAACTCAAACTTGCGCTGAGCTAGCCTGAAAAGGAACGGTACTGGTTCTTCATCTATCCCAAATCAATGCTTTCAACTGTCTTTTTTAACATGGCGATGTCCTACGAAGTGATAATTGTCGCCGTCTGCAGAACTTTTAAAGTTGTTCTTAGCTGACTCTGGCTTAGATGGTTCATATAACAACAGTTCCTAGATAGTAGATAGTTGAAAAAGGGTCACCTCCGAGCTAGAAAAAATGTGGTTAGTTTTGAGCTGGTTCTAAGAAGTATAGTATAGAGCAGAGGTTCCCAAATTTTTTTCACCGCGGCACCCTTGTTGTGCTAAAAAAATTTCGCGGCACCCGCCCTTCAATGGTCTACGAAAACAAGAAAACACAATACAAACTTTATGTCCTTTTAGCTTTAATTTGAGGACTGAAATTGTTTTGACAATTTTACCCTGAAATCATTTGACGCTGAAAGCTTGCTGGTGTATTTGTTTTTATGTAAGCATTTGTTGAAAATGCAGTCTCACATAGAAATGTAAAAGTAAAAGTCACTAGTATTTTTAATGCAATCTTGCATACACTTGCA